CCAGATTGAGGCGGAGAAAGTAACTTGGCAAAGATCATAAAACTAATAAATTGGCAGAGTTGGGGATCTGGGAGTCACCTCAATTCAAAGTCCTTGCCGCATGTGTCAGTGGCTGCTGCACAAGCTCCACTGCCAAGCCGCCTCTAGTCATCTTACTGTGTGCTCATTGTTCTAAGTGCTTTCTGTGTCTTATCGTATTTAATCCCCAGAACAACCTTATGAGGTTGGAAGTGTTTTTTATTAGTGCTGTTTATTATTTCTCTTTATAGAAAATGAGCCTTAGACATAAGGAGGGTGAAGAAGCACAGCAACATTGACTTTCTCTAGAGCTCCTGACAGCAATTATAACTGTAGTCAAGATATTTGCCTATATGCTAAGAATCTTGGTGTAAGAAATGTACAGGATTTCAGAATAATTCATGTAAAGAAACCATGGAAAGACATTTTAAAAACTGGTGTGTATTCACATATGGGCATTTCTTGGAAAAAGTGTGTTGTACTAGAAGAGAGTGGGATGTGGTTACTCAATATTTTGTCTCACTGATGTGGTAAAGAACACAGTCTTGGTGGAAATCAGGTCAGTTTTGAAAAAGAACATGGGCCAAAGCAGACAGAAAGAGGCAGTTGTGAGATTTGTGATTTGACTCCGAGAATGCTAAGTATGTCTTTACCTCCTGGAAACTGGAACTGCATGAGCACAGGCTATGTGCTTGCAAACCTGTCGATTTTCTTCCCAGTAACATACACACCACCTTTAGTTAGGCTAAAGCATATCTGTGGAAATTTGACTTGGAGAAATTGATAAAGTAGTAAGTTAATTTGGTATATGATGTTCTGAGGTTTGCTTGGATGGCAGAGGAGGAAAGATAAAAGAAACGATGACCTGGAGGGATAACCTTGTGAGGGTACGTGCCCTGGTGTACCCGTGCTGTCAGGGCCCCTACAACCCCTCGGCCTACTTGTCTCACTTTGTCCTCTTACATGAAGGTTTCTAGTAAGACCCTGTCCCCATCACAGGCAACACCACCACCAACGCGAACTGCCTTGGAGCTACCCGGACAGCTGTGCCAAGACACTCAGCCTGGTCCTTTTTGATCTGAGCTGGAGTCTCACATCTCTATCTTTGAAGAGTAGATATCTGTTGAAAATGCAGTCTAATATACGGGACACCATCAAACCTCTGCTTTCCAAGGCTCAAGGATCGCTGTGGAAGCAGAAAGATTGTAAGAGCCAGAGGTGGTGGACGAGCACAAGAAAACAGAGCTTTCCAGACAGCTGGTCTGTTACTCATATGAACTCATAGCATGGTGACAACGTACACAAGTCCCCTGTAAGCTCCAACCAAAAACATTCCCAGCGGGGACATGAGGAAGTGGGTAAGAAGCTCCAGCCCCATCTAAGGGAACTGTGGCAACAGATGGCTGCTAGGAGGGGCAAAGACACCACTTCTTTCAAGCATGGGACTCTTGGTAGGTTAACCAGGCTCCAGTGGATGGGTCTACACTGAAGGACATTTAGGGACACAAATTAGACTCTATAGGCCTTATTATATATATTATGTTGTACAGGGGCAAGAAGGGGAGGTGCAGCTAGGAGAGGGAATCCAAATACAATCAAATTATATTGTACGAAAATCACAAAAAGTCAATAAAAATATAAAAAGTAATTTAATAAGTTAAAAAAAATATGAGGCTGGACATTGAAGGAGGCCAGACCAAGAATAGATTGTTTTCCTTTAGGCTCCTACACCATTTTGGCTATTCTGTCTTTGAGATTTTTGTTTTTCTGGACTTCAGATAGATCAAATATGAAGTATAGAAAAGACTGTTTACTTCTACCAATTTGTATCATTAAAGTGAATAAGCCCCCAGGAGGCAGAGGCAGACAGATCTCTGTGAGATGGAGGCCAGCCTAGTCTACATAATGAGTTCTAGGTGGGCTGTCAACAGGTCTCTAAGGAGACCCTGTCAACACAAACAAACAAACAAGCAAAAACAGCAAAGTGAATATACTCACTTAAGCAGTTATTGCATTAATTACCCCTCGATGGATTTGGGGGTGTAGAAGTAGTGAGTATGTTACAGAGGTGAGATAAACATGTTTCATGTAGATTTTCTGGTACAAACATTAATGATTAAAACAGCGGAGGAAAGGGTTGGGGAGATGGCTCAGTGAGTGAGTGCTGACTGAATAGACATGAGAACTGAGTTCACTCCCCAGCACCAGTGTGAAAGCCTGGTACAGCAGGCAGCACACACCTACTCCTAACCCCAGTGCTCTGGGTCCATCCCAGGGCCTCTTTGGCCAGCCACTCTAGTAAAGCTGCAAGCTCCAGGTTCAGGGTGTGGAGAGTGACAGAGAGCAACAAAGACCCCTGGCCTCCACATGCACCTGGGGCTGGCCCATTCACAGACACATGCACCCCTCCCCCACAGAGCAGAGGAGAAAGAAACCCTGACTGGAATGAACACGGGAGCCGCGGAATAAGAGGGAGAGAATTTCTGGAATGGAGAATCTGTTTAATGGGTTCAAATACTGCAAGATGCACCCATGATATCTAGACTGACAAAGGGACTGCCCAGGAGGCCACAGGTGGCCTGGGGGAGGAAGAAGAGTGAAGGTTGGTGGAAGAGGAGGGATAGCAGTGATATTGGAAAGTGCTTCAGGAAGTGTGGCATAGAGAAGGAGAAAGAAAATGTGATACTATAGAAGTCAGAAAGTCAGGGGAAGAAAACAGGCTGTTCCAACACTGTTGAGAAGACTCTACTCATGTGGAGTTAAATAATTGATGTAGATGAGCAATTTCTTACCAAGATAGGAAGGGGAAGGCCTCTAGAGAGAGACAGAGAGAGAGACAAAGTGAGAGACAGAGAGATGCATGCAGAGAGACCGAGACAGAGACCAGGGGTGGGAAGAGGGAGGAGAGAGAAAAAAATAATAACCTCATTTTTAGTCATCCACCTTATAAATTTCTGTTTGTCTTAATAATATATCTCTCTGAATTGACTTAGTTACAGCAATTATGTCAAATGCAAATTGTAACTTTTCCATCTCTTTCTCATGGTAAAAATTAAACCAGATTAATAATTAATTGATTATAATAGTTACAAAATATATGATAGTTTTCTCCAGGTATGAGCTTCCTGGTTGGTAATACAATCCCAAATGGTTAGCCCTAAACACATGTACACACAAGCACCTAAATGGATTTAGCCATTTAGTGTTGAAATTGAAGGGAGTGTGAAATTGATGGAGAGGGAGAGGTTGAAATGATGTAATTACAGTACTCATGTATAAAATTCTCAAAAAATTATAAAAACTGAATAAATAAATAATTATGCTGATCATTTTATTCAGAAAAAAGTCCATGCTATTAGCATGAGGATATGAGAACAATTATTTTAAAATTTGTTACTTTTTTTCTTTTCCTCAAATGTGACCTGTCTATGAAGGTGGGAAAGATCATACTTTAAAACTCAAGCAGCCTTACCCTACAAAGGCTGTGTGGGATTGCACTGATTCTAGTCAGGCTCTGTCAGTCTGAACTCTATCTCTACCACTGACTCTTATGATCCTGGGTATTTATCTAACACCATTTTGCCTTAGTTATTTTATTCGTACAATGAGACAGCACTCTTTCATCTCCTATTTATTATTTTAATTAAATTTATTTTATTTTATGTGTATGAGTGTTTTGCCTACAAGTATGTAAGTGCACCATGCATGTGCAATGCCCTGCAGAGGCCAGAAGAGGGAGTCAAGATGCCCTGCAACTGCAGTGAAGGATGGTTGTTAACTGCCATGTGGATGCTGGAATTGAACCATGGTCCTCTGGGAGAACAGCAAGTGATCTTAACCACTGAGATGTCTTCCTAGCCCTCTTTCATCTCTTTCATGAGAGGGCAGATGGGCTCACACCAGACACTGGCATTCAGTGAGTTGTATAAGAATTCTACAGAGATTCTACTTGGAAAAAATCCTGTGAATAGAGTAGCTCATGCCTCTTAGCCCAGCTCTTGGAAGGCTGAAGCAGAAGGATTTCCATGAGTTTGAGGTCAGCCTGAGCTACATAGTGATTTCCAGGTCAGCTTAGTCTACAGAATGTGACAAAACAAAACAACAAGAAACAAAACAAAGCTAAACCAAAGATGAATGAAAACAAAGACAAGTCATGCATGTCATGTTTATTTATTCATTCTTGAATACAGTAAAATTATCATGGCCTGCAGTTTTCTCATCTCATAATTCTAACAAAAGACTTTACAAGAGCAGTTATCACAGGTGGACTAATGGTGTTCAACTTATCTGACTGCACTTGCAACAGGACGTGGTCAGTCAGGAAACTTGTTACTCTAGGTCTAGGATCTTGAATATTTTCAAACTTAGGAATTAGTAAGTGCTTTATTTTATAGTAAAATGTAGTCCAAACTGATAAACATCTTTCTGGAAACCATCTATGATGATAAATATCTTTATGATGATTCTAATATCACAACTTAAGATGTTTTGTGAAAATCCATCAGATTTTCCCTTGATTATTTGATTTTCACAAGGAAGTTAAGGATCTTGGGAGATTATACGTATTTGTCTAAATAAAAATATACCTTCACCCTCCCATCATCTCTAAAAAATGGGATTGGCAAGAAGGTCTGAGTTATTGCTTCAGAGTGTGACATCATAAAGCCCTCACACAAAGCAGCAAAAGCTCAGCCCTCTTTGGCCCCAAAAGGACCAGGTCCCTGTGGTGTTGGACAGCCATTGATGGATTTGGACGGCCACTGGTGGACCGGGATGGCCGGGACCAGGTCCCTGTGGTGTTGTTGGACAGCCATTGATGGATTTGGACGGCCACTGGTGGACCGGGATGGCCACTGATGAACCTGGACGGCCACTGGTGGACTTGGACGGCCACTGATGGACTTGGACTGCCACTGGGGGACTTGGATGGCTACTGATGGACTTAGATGGCCACTGGTGGACTTGGACTGCCACTGGTGGACTTAGACAGCCACTGGTGGACTTGGACAGCCACTGGTGGACTTGGATGGCCACTGTTGGACTTGGACTACCACTGATGAACTTGGACTGCCACTGATGGACTTGAACGGCCACTGTTGTCTTGGACTGCCAATGGTGGACTTGGATGGCAACTGGTGGACTTGGACTGCCACTGATGGACTTGGATGGTCACCGTTGTCTTGGACTGCCAATGGTGGACTTGGATGGCCACTGGTGGACTTGGAAGGCCACTCATGGACTTGGATGTCCACTGATAGACTTGGACTGCCACTGGTGGACTTGGTTGGCCACTGGTGGACTTGGACTGCCACTGATGGACTTGGATGGCCACTGGTGGACTTGGACTGCCACTGGTAGACTTGGTTGGCCACTAGTGGACTTAGACTGCCACTGATGGACTTGGATGGCCACTGGTGGATTTGGACCAGTGGTAACTGGTGGACTTGGAAGGCCACTGGTGGACTTGAACTGCCACTGATGGAATTGGAAGGCCACTGGTGGACTTGGACAGCCACTGATGGACTTGGACAGCCACTGATGGACTTGGACTGCCAGTAATGGACTTGGATGGCCACTGGTGGACTTGGAGGGCCACTGGTGGACTTGGATTGCTGCTGATGAACTTGGACGGCCACTGGTGGACTTGGACAGTCACTGATGGACTTGGACAGCCACTGATGAAAATGGACAGCCACTGATGGACTTGGACGGCCACTGGTGGACTTGGACTTCCACTGGTGGACTTAGACTGCCACTGATGGACTTGGACAGCCACTGGTGGACTTGCTTGGCCACTGGTGTACTTGGACGGCTACTGATGGACTTGGACAGCCACTGATGGACTTGGACGGCCACTGGTGGACTTGGACTGCCACTGGTGGACTTAGACTGCCACTGATGGACTTGGACTGCCACTGATGGACTTGGATGGCCACTGGTGGACTTGGATGGCCACTGATGGACTTGGATGGCTACTGGTGGACTTGGATGGCCACTGGTGGACTTGAATTGCAGTTGATAGACTTGGACGGCCACTGGTGGACTTGGACTGCCACTGATGGACTTGGACTGCCACTGATGGACTTGGATGGCCACTGGTGGACTTGGACGGCCACTGGTGGACTTAGACAGCCACTGATGGACTTGGACTGCCACTGATGGACTTGGATGGCCACTGGTGGACTTGGACTGCCACTGATGGACTTGGACTGCCACTGGTGAACTTGCATGGCAATTGGTAGACTTGGACGGCCACTGGTGGACTTGGACAGCCACTGGTGGACTTGGACTGCCACTGATGGACTTGGACTACCACTGGTGGACTTGGATGGCCACTGGTGGACTTGGACTGCCACTGGTGGACTTGGATGGCCACTGATGGGCTTGGACAGCCACTGGTGGATTTGGATGGCAACTGGTGGACTTGGACTACCACTCGTGTACTTGGATTGCCACTGATGGACTTGGACAGCCACTGGTGGACTTGGAAGGCCACTCGTGGACTTGGACTGCCACTGGTGGACTTGCACAGCCACTGGTGGGTTGGATGGCCACTGATGGACTTGGAAGGCCACTGGTGGACTTGGACTGCCACTGATGGACTTGGATGGCCACTGGTGGACTTGGACGGCCACTGATGGACTTGAAAGGCCACTGGTGGACTTGGACCACCACTGATGGACTTGGATGGCCACTGGTGGACTTGGACTACCACTGATGAACTTGGACTGCCACTGATGGACTTGAATGGCCACTGGTGGACTTGGACAGCCACTGGTGGATTTGGATGGCCACTGGTGGACTTGGACTACCACTCGTAGACTTGGATTGCCACTGGTGGACTTGGACTGCCACTGATAGACTTGGATGGCCACTGGTGGACTTGTATGTCCACTGGTGGGCTTGGACATCCACTGGTGGACTTGGATGGCCACTGGTGGATTTGGACGGCCCCTGATGGACTTGGACTGCCTCTGGTGGACTTGGATGGCCACTGATGGACTTGGACAGCCACTGGTGAACTTGCATGGCTACCACCATTGATGGACTTGGACTGCCACTGATGGACTTGGACGGTCACTGGTGGACTTGGATGGCCACTGATGGACTTGGACGGCCTCTGGTGGACTTGGGTGGCCACTGGTGGACTTGGATGGCCAATGGCAGACTTCGACGGCCTCTGGTGTTCTTGGATGGCCACTGGTGGACTTGGATAGCCACTGGTGGACTTGAATGCATTGGGCATCATTCAGTTTATCCCTCCTCCCCTCTTCTCTGACTCTCCCCTCTTCTCTGACTCTCCTCACCTTCCTCCTCCTCCTCTTCCTCTCTTCCTCCTCCCTCTTCACTTCCTTGCATTTTTTTTCATTTTTTAAAACTTTTTTTGGGGGAGGGAAGTAAATTTGTTATGGAATTATTTCTTGTGTTTTCATGAGTTTGGGTCCAAATTCTCTTCTTTATGTGACATTATGGAACATTTTAAAAAGTCCTATAAATTACTGCTATTCAAAAATATTTTGCATTATTATGTATGTTTCAACAATACAATAAAGGCATACAGGAATCCTAACATTTTCTAGAGCCTACTTTCATAGTAGTGCCTACTTTCCACTTCTCAAGTAAATACAAAAAAAGCAATGAGTTAATTGACTGAGCAGCAAATGTACCAGCTAGGCAATTTACTGAGCAGTAAGTTGTAAGGATGCCTGTAAAATGGAGAGTAAATGTATTTAGTATTTCCCATAGGTAAATACCATATCCAATGGTACAATATTCTTTGTACTTCTCTGGTCTCAACAAGCATTTCTTGAGCACTCGCTATGTGCCAGGCCTACTGTACAAACAGTTTGATTAGAGCCACAGAGACTCTCTCCAGCCCTATATATTACTTCTTAGTATTTTGCAACATATAACCACAAATTTAGAGCCTCAAAACAAGAAAGATTTCTGTTCTCATAGTCAGCTATCTCAATTTGAAGTAGCAGCGTTCTCAAATTTTGCTCTTTCCAGGCAAAAATTGGGCCAGGGCTGTGTTCACAACTAGCGTTCCAGAGACCTTCCTAAACACCCTGGCATCTGGCACTGCTCAGAGTCTTGTGCAGTCTGACCAAATTGCCCCTCCTTTGTTTTGCAGGTTTCCCTAGCTAGAGGCTGCCCTCACCTAAGTGTGGAATACACCGTGCGATTTCTCCCTTCCTCCCAGGCAGCAGGTGCCTTCTCCATCTCATGGAAATCCTGGGCTCCAAATCTTGACAAATTTCATTATCCAACTGGAAAGACAAATCACACTCAGTGGTGCGTGGCCCATCTCAGCACAACAGCCTTTAAGCACTGGGAAGCTCTCAAGCTCACATCCCTAAATATAAGTTGAAAAAATTTCCAATTTCCACTTGAAGGCTTGGATTTTGTCACTGGCTACACAAACTAATGCTGTTTTCTTTGCAATAACAGAGTCAATTTGTTCTTCACCCCCCACCCCAAGATAATGAGTTCCAAATACCCTCTTCTGAATCACCATGGCTTGGCAGTTGTTCCTAAGTGAGACGGTTGCTCCATGAAAAGTATAGCTTGCGTGCTATTTGCTTTTCTTAAGAGAAAACTTCTTATCATCTGTGTTTGGCCTCAAGACCCTTTCGGAGGGTCGCTGAGGTTAACTAGGTTTTCATAATAACATTAAGATGTTAGTTGCCTTTTTTCACTGGTTCAACAATTGCCAAAGCAGTAAGGCTCGATGATTGACGTCCGAGCACGACTCAAGACAGGGAAAGAAGCCATTGTACTATGCCACCTGGACTCACTTTGGCCAAAAAATAATACTGCTAGCCTCACTTAGGCATGTCCTTGATCCAACAGTATCAATTATACATTTTTTGTTCAGTCTTGGCCCTCAATGCACATCATGTATAAGGGAGGAAAGAGAAGCCCACAAAAGGCTCTGAAATGTTAAATGCTCAAAATCATTGTTGTAATGTTGAAAATTAATTCACTGATATACTTCATATTGTATTTTGCTGATTTGATTATATTCCTGGAAAAAAGGGTTACATTTCCAACCCCTTTGGAGTTTTATCTGCTTTGTACATTAAGAATGATGTAATATTTCTCCTAACAGCACTATAATTTTTTTCCAAACTGACCTTGCAAAGCTTTGTTATTTTATAGTGTACTGTAACTTGAAGAGTCATAAATTGGATAGTAAATTTAAGCATAATGAACAAAATTCTTTAATCCTCGGTAATTCTGGAGATGATCTGAAATTCTAAAACTAAAAATCTCCCAATCTTAAATTCTCCTTAATCCATAGAATTCAAGACAAAATTATGAAGTTATTTAGTACTCTTCTGGCCCTTTCAATTTTATTTGCATTATTTTATTATACTTTTTATTGGAAAACATCCAGTACTTTGCTTTTCCAACACTTCACATAGCTTCAAAACTTTTGATGCTATACCTTGGACCTGAGAACATCATATTAACAAAGTGATGGGATTTATGACCGAAGAACTGGAGCTGTACCACCTAGAAGCTTCTGCAGGGTTTCTGCTTGTTTTTAGCTTCTCCAAATTTCAAGGTCTCCCATAGCACACAGCACAAAACTGAATGATTCCCAAGCCTGCAGATAGGCTGTGGGATTGCATGACGTGATAGAAGGTGCTTTGGCTTGTTATAGGTATGACGTCATTCTAGTGGAGCTAGCGGTCACTGGCAAACTCCAGGATAGTTCTCACAGGTCCTCTTTAAGGTACAGAAACTTAGGAGACACCTCCTACAATCTAAAGTCCCTATGAGTGACAGAGCAAAATATGCTTCACATATTCTTTGATAAAAACTGGTAAGTTTATACAACTTGCAGGTTTTCTTATTTACTGTTTTTCTCTTACATGATGCTTGTTACCTCATATAAAATTAAACATTATCAACTTGAAAAAATAGCATATGAAAATATTTGAAAAGATTTTGATGGAGATGACAAGATGTGTATCTGTAATTGGGTGGACATGTTTCCTTTAATCCCTTTTACAGGAAATAGAAAGGAAACAGGAGGGGACATAGGAGGAGATGGAGGGAGACTGGGGGTTGGTGGAAATGGTGTGAAGACTATGCTCATGTATGGTGTTCAGACAAAAATATTTTTTAAAAGACCATTTCAGCTTTTTACACAGAGAAAATTCTTAAAATTATTTTAGTTAATATGTAAAGAAAACTATACATGAACTTGTAAGTGAATGCACATAAGCAAATGTATTCTTTCCAAGAGTCATTTTAGCATACAAAAATATAAATAAACCCTAAATTGGTTTATCAAAATCTTATAAATGTTAAAAACTGACAATCCATCTGGATTTGGGAATTTAGCAGGCATTATGTATACATTTTTTATCATAAGCTTTGCCAGTGCAAAACGGAGCAGTCTGGCTTTTTATATAAACAGTATTACTTTCATGTCAGGAGGAAAACTAGACGTGGTGTTGCTCCGTGGTAGTGGCTGAGCATCTTTACTGGCTTCCCGTTGGAGAAGTGATGGACTGTGGTGAGGACCTGGAGGGCTGACTGCTGCATCTTCCAAAGGCAACAGGCTCATAACTAAATGTTCCCAGTGCCTTCTTTGTTCTACAAGCCTGAGACCTATCGGGAGGTTTCCCTGAAAGTAAGCCATGAGTTTTAAGGCTAAGCCACAGTGGCATACAAAGGGGTTGCTGTTGATCTTTTTTCCTAATTTTGGATTAATTGTGATCTACAGCCCTGCGTAAACATGCTATCTCAGGGTTTTAGCTTCTCCTGAGCTAAACATTAATCCCTCTTAATACTGTAAGTCAACTTTTAGTCCTTAGCAGAATTTACCTTAATCTCTGAGTAGTAAGTTAACTGATTTACAGAACATAATCCATGAGCCCAGAATCTTAAGGATGTGTGATCAGTAGCAACCTACCTTCACCCAGTTGACTGGACTTGACTCTTACATTGCAAATTGAGCTGGTGAGGAAGATGACACCCATATTGTGAATTTGAGGAGTGTGGTTTTCTGTTGCATTTGAACACAGCAGACCAGCAGCTGAACTTCTGTTTGTTGCAGTTTTTGTGTGTGTGCATGTGTGTGCATGTGGCTACCATTTGTAATTCTGTAAGTATGTACGTGTGTGTGTGTGGCTACCGTTTGTAATTTTGTAAGTATGTACGTGTGTGTATGTGGTTACCATTTGTAATTTTGTAAGTATGTACGTGTGTGTGTGGTTACCGTTTGTAATTTTGTAAGTATGTGCATGTGTGTGTGGCTACCGTTTGTAATTTTGTAAGTATGTACATGTGTGTGTGTGGTTACCATTTGTAATTTTGTAAGTATGTACGTGTATGTATGTGGTTACCGTGTGTAATTTTGTAAGTATGGCTAATAGGAGCCGATTACTTTTCTGCTTTGTATTGTTTTCTCCTTAGGTCTTTGCAACTAATGTAGTCAGTCATCTGAATTAGGGGCAGATCTTTCTCCATGCTTAGGTACCATTTGACTTTATTTCCTAATTATTTAAACATGTGCTTTACGATCATGGAAAACTGCCTTACATACAATGTCTGGTTTTAGTCTTTCAAATTGGAGTACAATCATCAGTATTAGTGGTGACAACCTCAGATGGTTCTATAATGTAATTTGGTTTTGAAAATCATTCATATATCATGGTTTTTAAATTTGAAACTCACTTGACTATTGAGGTCACCAAAGGTTACAGTCTCTCTTACTTCAAGCCAGCCAGGAGGCGCTTTTCTATCTGGTGGTCTACTCAGTCTCCCTCTACTCAGAGCTTGCTGGCTTCCTGAGAACCTGCTGTCCCCATTAAGACCTCTCAGATTACGAAAGTTAGACTTATCAAGCCTCCCCCATGGTGAAAAAAACCGGCAAGTACAGCTTATAAGTTTAATTCTTTGTTATCAAATTCTGGCTCCATTTTCTCTGGGGAATTACAAGTGTTCATATTGTGTAACCTACCTGTACAGAGATGTTTGGAGTTGATTCCTTCTTTGCATAGTCGGCTGCTGGACCCCCATCTGCTTATTAAAGTATATGGCACGCCCTGGCTGGAATGGAGGCAAGCAAATGCAGCTTTCTTTTTGAACTTGAATTATTTTTTTCTCATACTTAGGAACTTATTTTTCCTTAATGTAGATCAAAGAACATGCATAAAGTGAACAGAAGTGCGTGCTGTATGGCTGAGCTTGTGTGCACACTCTCCCATGTCCCTCACCCAAGGCAGA